TAACCTATACTTACGTGGAACCCAAAAGGAGAATGTGTCTGGTACTGAGTTCCTAATTGGACACCTTGACCTAGTTTCTATGCATCCTTGGTGACCCAGGGTGTGTGCTCTGGACTACTACTGGTACTTTAGATGCTGTTCTTTCGAGGCAGCACACAACACTCTTTATAGGCAACCCCAGAAGGACTCGACGTGGAAACCCTGCTACGTGAACTGAGTTTTACCTCAACCCCACCTGAAACCCCCTAGTGTGAGAAGAAGCAGGTGACAGCCAGCCCAAGAGCATAGACCAGGCAGACGTTGGACTTTAGTTTGAATCTCTTGCGTTGAGGATGCCTGGTGAACCACTATATACTTACTATTTTAATACCCTCTTTGCTTCATTATAAAATGTGTTCATCTGGGAGGCATGGCTCTGCTCGTGTAAATGAATATTAGTGGAAAATTGCTCTACCCCATCCCGTGGTTTGTGTAAGAAGTCTCCAGTCCCTTAAGAGTTGAATCTGTACAAGTCAGCAGTTCATGTGCTGTGGTTCATAACTAGCCTATCCCTGTATAACTTCCATTTTGCAACATCTTTTTTAAATTCTATGCAATGACTAGACAAATGACACTAGCAATGCATAGTGGTGATGCATTGAGTTGCTAACCACAAGGTCAGCAGTTCAAAACCACCTTCCAGTTCTTCAGGGGAAGGATGAGGCTTTCTACTCCTGTGAAGATTTGCAGGCTTAGAGACTCACAAGGGCAGTTCTACCCTGCCCTATAGGGTTGCTATGAGTCAGCATTGACTTGATGCCAGGGGGAAGTAATGCCCCAGCAAGATGATTGATTATATTCTTTAACATACAATGTCAATAACGTCTCCAAGGTGAACCAGAGACATATGTAAACCATAGATGCATGAATGGATTTTGGGCTAGCACTTAATTCTAGCCTCAATCTAAGGACAGTTTGTTCTTATGATATTGCCTGTTTGATGCTCGCCCTCAGGAAGAGATCACTGAAGATATGGGTGCTATAGCAAAGTGTGGTGAAGAAACTAGATGGTGCCCCAGAATAGCATCTGGGGTCTTGAAGGTCTATTTTCAAACAAGCAGCCATCTAAGTGAGCCATAAACTAAGGTCACATGGAAGAAGCACACCAGCCTATGTGATCCAAGAATTGAAAATAATATAATCCAATATAATATAAAGGAGGGAATGGCATCAGAGCAGCTTAAATTGCGAAAGCTGGTTTGCAGAAGCCTGGATGACAGTGCAAGTCCTAAATCCTTCTGCAGGGTCCCCACATGGATTAACCTTCAGGTGAATCCCCTCCAACCGTAGTTAAGGGATGTGAATGCCCTTTCATCAAGCACAGAGCATGTTAAAGTCGATTATAGAAACCATATAAATCAAAACGTAATATCTGCTCATTTGATATCCCTGTCAAACCTTTTTAAAGCAGCTTCAGGTTTTTGTTATTTAAGTGAAGGAGAAACGCACATGGATCAATTCCCTGATGAATCCCCTCTAACCATGAACTAGAAAGATGAATAGCCTTGCTATCACCCAGAATCTATTAGAAAGTTACAAATGCACTTGGGTTAAAATTTAGCACCCTATTATATGGTCTACTTGGTGATCCATTTAAATATGTTCTAGTTTTTCATGTTTTATGCTTTCTTTCCCATTGAAGTGTTTATCTTTTTTACTTTATTATTGCTGTTAGGTTTTTTTGTTTTGCTTTTGTGTAGTTTTTTTATATGAAATCCAGGACAGGTTAATCTATAGAGACAGTAACTGGATTCCTGGTTCCTTGCGGGTATAACCGGTGAAGTTGAGAAGAAATGTCAAGCTAAGATGAGTCCATGAATGAAGTAGAAGATCTAAAACGGATTGTGGTGATCCTTGTACAATTCTTGTTGCTGTGATTGATGTGTATGTGAATTGTATGATATATGAATGATATGCCAAAAAAAAGAAAACCTTAAAAGGAAGAAGTCTGAAAGAGCAAGATCAAGACTGAGGGAAGATAGAGTTAGATTTCCCAATGAACTCCTCCTGGGATGGCATTTGCTACCCTTGAAGAATGAGTTGGGACACTGTTGTGATGACAACAACTTTCCTGACCTTTTTCTGACCAGGACAGTGCTCAATTGTAAAACTTCTTCATTACAAGCAGCCATCAAACTCAGAAGCAACAAAGCCCACATGAAAGAAGCACACCAGCTTGTGCGATCATGAGGTGTTGAAGGGATCAGGTATCAGGCATCATCAGAACAAAAAAATCATATCATTGTGAATGAGGAGTGGAGTGCAGAGTGGAGACCCAAAGCCCATCTGTAGGCAGTTGGACATCCCCTTACAGAAGGGTTGCGGGGAGGAGACGAGCCAGTCAGGGTACAGGGTAGCAACAATGAAACATACAACTTTCCCCTAGTTCCTAAATGCTTCCTCCCCCTCCACTATCATGACCCCAATTCTGCCTTACAAATCTGGCCAGAGAATGTACACTGGTACAGATAGGAATTGTAAACACAGGGAATCCAGGGCAGATGATCCCTTCAGAACCAGTGCTGGGAGTGACAATACCGGGAGGGTGGAGGAAGGGTGGAGTGGAAAGGGGGCACCGATTACAAGGATCTACATATAACCTCCTCCCCGGGGGATGGACAACAGAAAAGTGGGTGAAGAGAGATGTCGGACAGTAAAAGATATGACAAAATAATAATTTATAAATTATCAAGGGTTCATGAGGGAGGGGGGAGTGGGAGAGGGGGCGGAAATGAGGAGCTGATGCCAGGCCCTAAGTGGAGAGCAAATGTTTTGAGAATGATGAAGGCAATGATTGTACAAATGTGCTTTACACAATTGATGTGTGGATGGATTGTGATAAGAGTTGTATGAGCCCCCAATAAAATGATTTTTTTTTAAACTTCTTCACTCAAAGCCAGTCCTCTGTCTTTCAAGACATTTTATCAAGAGCACCCCTCTGGAATCTCTGACAACGGCTACAAAACTCTGGGATGACCTCTTTGCCTGAATGTCACTGGCCCAGCAGATGCCCTGGGCTGCAGAAACCACTGTGGTGGCGGAACCTTTCTTTCTGAAGTCAGCACCCTAGCAGGACTCAGCAAGACGGGTGACTGAGAGAATTTGTCTGCCACCTACCACTGACCACAAAGACATGCGTGAACACACGTTATTTGGAATAAACTCGTGCGTGTATACATTGGCATGCCAGCAGTAATACTTTTTGCTTACCGTCTCGGCCAGGTCAAATGTGCACACAGTAAAAGGGGGCTTCACAAAGTCCGTGGGAAAGTTCCGTAATCTTTTTGTTCTATTTCTCCACAAAATTTCTGAAGCCCCTTTGTAGGTGCTGTATAGACTTAATCCAGCCATGTTCTTTCAGTGTTTCTTCCGTCTGTTCCTGAAAGGCGACTCAGGGGCAACAAGTTTTGTTTAAGGCACAGCAGCCTCCAAATGGATATTTCAAAACCGTTTATGTTGCCTCATTGAAGGAAGCCCTTTTTTGGCTGATTAGGATTGTAATTTAAGAATGTACTAGGACTGATGGCAAACATTCTCATTGTAAAATGCCCGGATCTAAGTGATACATCTAGATGCAAATAACATGAGTGAGTTCTCAACTGAATTACTGATGTCACTGTAAAGCCCCATCCATGATCTTTGTTTTGATTGTGCTCTATTTTTGGGGGGTGTTTTGCTTTTACTGATGGTTGTAGTTTTATGAAAAATGTATACAATATACAGCATCTATAGCATAGCGCATTGACTTCATGGCAGCATCTAAAAAGATTCTGTCAAATTATCTGAATGAGTTCTACAAATGATTGAATGCTATAAACTACTATGTGCTTTTAGAAAAATTGACCTGAAATTGTTTTTTAAAGGTTTTCACACATATAGCCTTCCCATGAATAAGTTATCTTGTTTTCCTGAGAAAACCAGTGGGCAGTTTATATCCCATGATGTGATATAAGACCTAAGCATAACATATGGATGAGTGCTACCATTTATGATTCTCTTTTTGACAATCCAAATTATCTTTGGGATATTCCTCTGAATGATAAATCAAGTGATTTCAAAGTGGAATTCAAAATTGGAAAATTGAAGTTGTAAGTGCTTTTATCTTAAGTAGATGCTATCTGCAGACCTTTAGCTTTGACCTAACTTTATGACAATGGGCTCTTCAGGGAATGTCATTAGGCTGATACACTATGCAGGTCCTAGGAATTAGGGTTAAGTATAAATTGTTACAGCTACAGACTTGCATGTGGGCCCAACTCAGCATATATGTAAATTGGCTTTTCCATAGCTTTCTGACAAATAGTATAATGCATTCAACCGTCACTGAATAATTTTAAGTTTCCTTTAGAGAGAAACTAATAGCTTTTTTAAGAATTATTGTCTCGTGTATCATTGTTTTCCCTCATTCTCTGGGGCATGAAAGAAAGTGTATTTATTCAAAATTTCCTTTTAATTTAGTAGATAAATGGTTCTTGCCATGATGACACAGAATATTCATTTTTCTCCCATGTTGGCTAGGAGCATGTAAATACTAGAATCTCTGCCTTTGAGGAGGGTGGATTTGTTTGTATTGGATAAAGGAAGTAGGCAAAGAGTTTACCATGGATTAACTTGTAGCCCTGGTTTTTTGTGTATTTTGTTGTTGTTGTTTGAAACCCCTGATCTCCACTGCCTGTTAAAAATAGCACCACAGTGATCACCCCATTCCAATTTCTATTCCTACCCCACAGGACTCTATGGGAAAGCCATTGCCTGCATGTCTATTGCATGTTTATAAAGCGGGGGGCATCTGAAGTGGAAACAGAAGGAGATTTTCATTTCACTGCTTCCGTTGCTGCTAGTTGTGTTCTAAAATGGACCTGAATGTGCCATTTGTTTCTAAATCCCTCATCATTTTCCTAAGAACGTACAACCCAGAAAAACAGCAGCAAACCCTGTTGAATTCTGTTTATGTCTTCCAGGTTGGGAGAATTGAAGATTTCCTATACCAATTAGAGGATAGTTTCCTAAAAACTAAGAAACTGAGAACTGCTCGAAGACGGAAAACGAAAATGAAGCGGCTTCAAACCATGCAGCAGAGCTAGTCACTGGGGAGGCGCTACCTCGGCGATGGCCCGGAGAAAGAAGCCAGGGCGTCCAGTCAGACAGACAGCCAGATAACACAGACAAATCACCACATGCAAAAGTAGCTCTTCCTGGCTCCTTCTTAGCAAAGACTTGAGGAGTCTCAGCTGTCTGCAATAAATGCTCTCAACCTACTGGTCTTGACTCTTATTCAAATCTGCCTTGTTTTGCTAACCAAAGCACAATCTCACTGCCATCGAAATGATGCCAACTCGCAGCGACTCTACTGGACAGGATAGAACGGCCCCTTTGAGTTTCAGAGAAGGTAACTGCACCGAAAGCTCCAGATCTCTCCGGCAGAGGGGCTGGTGGTTCCAAATGGCTGACCTTGCTCTCCACTGCCCAGTGCATCATCACTGGTGCCATCAGAGCTCCTCTTTTAGCTAAAGACTTTATGAAAGAGTCACTGCTGTCTCTTTCACCTCCCTTATTCTTTCAGACTTGACTAAAGTATTCCAGATCTACCTAAGTAGGCTCACAGTGCACTTGCCTAAGCACTCAGAGGGAAAGACTACATAAATACAAAATTAACATCATAACATTACTAATATCCCTTCTTGCGTCATTACGGAGATAGTCATATGTAGTGTGTATGATATCATTAGGTAAGATTTCTCAGTACAATCTCAGTTCTTTCATGTGGATTTGTTATTTCCCTTTCCCATTCAATGACTCCACCCAAAAGCACATACTCGACAAGGTGGACCTCACCTCATAATCCAACTTACACCCACAGGGAAGTCTGGGGAGAAGATGAGGAGAAACTCAGATGTAGAGAAAAACGTTTTTTAACAAATACTAAAAAAATGAAAAATGAACAGAATCCAAGAGCATGGATGATAAAAAAAATAAGAAAAGGATGAAAGGAAATAAGATAGTTGTAAGTGGATTTTTTAAAGCCAGAAGAAGAAACTAATCTGTAACCGATCACAATGATCTACCTATAGCCCCTTTCAGGGGATGGACAACCGAAAAGTGGGCAAAGGAAGACATCAGTCAGTGTACGAAATGAAAACATAATGATAATTTATAAATTATTAAGGGCTCAAGAGGAAAAAATGAGGTGCTGATACCAAGAGCTCAAGTAGAAAATATTTTGAAAATGATGATGGCAAGAAATGTAAAAATGTGCTTGACACAATGGATGGATGGATGGTGATAAGAGTTGGACGAGCCCCCAATAAAATGATTTATTTAAAATGACAATATTAACAATAAAAGGGCATATATTGTAAATACAAAAACACAAAAAGAAGTACAGCCAGAATGCTCCTAGGAGCTGCAGAGGGCAAGGTTTTGTCTTTCTTTACTTTGGACTTGTTAGCAACAGAGACAGTCCTGGGAAAAGGACACCAAGCTTGGTCAAGCACAGCGGCAGCGAGCAGAGGGGACCCTTCACGAGATGGGCCGACCCACTGACTGCAGTGATGGACTCCGAAGTAGCGACTGTTGAGTCCGACGCAGGGCGGTGTAATGTCTCGTTCTGTGGCACGCTGGGCTGCTATGACTTGGAACTGACAATGGCAATGAACAGCAATAAATGAATCTTTTAATCATACAGTTTGACTACAAACGAATCGCCTTTGAAATAAAATGGCCTGTGAAGTTGGTTACCATCGAGACCATTTGAGGGCTTTGCTAGTTCATGCAACTTCCACGAGGGAGACCTAGGTTTGATCGCTAGCCAATGCACCCATCTGTCAGTGGAGGTTTGCCTGTTGCTCGGATGCTAAACAGGTTTGAGCAGTTTCTAGAGCAGTGGTTCTCAACCTGTGGGTCGCGACCCCTTTGGGGGTTGAACGACCCTTTCACAGGGCTCGCCTAAGACCATCGGAAGACACATAAATATTTCACAATATATAATTACATATTGTTTTGTGATGAATCGCTATGCTTTCATTATGTTTAATTATGTTCAATTTGTAACAATGAAAATACATCCTGCCTATCAGATATTTACATGACGATTCATAACAACGAAAATATTTTTATGGCTGGGGTCACCACACCATGAGGAACTGTGTGAAAGGGTCGCAGCACGAGGAAGGTTGAGAACCACTGTTCTAGACTAAGACAAAGAAGAGAGGAAGGACCATTTAAGCCCTATCCATTACAGCAGTTCAATCCACAGCTACCACGGGGATGTGTAGGACCAGGCAGCATTTTGCTTTGTCCTTGGTGTTACTCTCAAAGGGTAACTGGACAGCAATTAACAGAAACAATGAAGGACTATTGGCTTAATAGTTGTGTTTATTCACTAGTCCCTAATTATTCATTAGTCCCTCCTCTTCTATCCCAACCTCCTTGAAGACTAACTTCAGTTACTATCATTGTTGAGATCAATAAGTCTCACTTAAGAAATTTTTTAAATCATCAAATCCATACCCACCCAGCATCACAGTTATCTTCTGAATTGTGGGAAACAGTTTATTTCTTTTGATGTACACGCAAGTCTAACCAAATGTGTGAGACTCAGCCTGGCATCTGACTCCTCTGCGGCTCCTGCCTCTCACATTGTCTAGGAATTGCTTGTTAATTAAAAAAGGCCTTGTAACATTCCAGGAGACAAATCTTAATAACTTTACATTTCACTTCAGTGTTAGTTTATTAACGTCAGTGGGGTTTTTCCCCCAAAAAAACACAAAAAATAATTTTTATGTTCTGAAAGAAATTAATTGTTTAAAAAGAAAAATAAAAGTGAGCAGGAATCCCAGCACATCCTCTTTGTTTATTCAGCAGTTTTCTAAAAGGCTTGTCGACTCAACGGCTGTTCAATTGCTTTATGTTTGTAATTAAGGTAGTCTTATTCTATAGTGTCCAAAAGTTATGTATACATGATATAATTTAAAATACTAGATATAGTTTCACTGTTTGACCAATTACTCCCAAGTAACACCAAAGATCCTTTGGTTCTTTTGACCAGAGATTGGGGTAGGGAAGAAGAGCAGTTGGTATTTGAGTTTAAATTATAAAGCACATGATGTGTGGAAGGATATGATTTACAATGAGAGCCCTAACTCCATTTTAAGTCATTTTGAATCCAGCTTCCATTTTTTTTTTTTGGTCTGACAGTTAACCAGCAATACAGCAGTGTTGTCTTCAGGCAAAGTGTGTTTAAAAGTAGATTACAAATCCCCTGGCCATCCCAGGGAGGGGCAGTCTTACCCTCAGTTTTATAGATGTGTGATACAGTGGCTATGATATGATAGGGGTGTTACTCATGGTCATGAGTTGTACCCCAACCACCATGTGGTCAAAGTGCTAGATCCGATCCTGTCAGCCTGTTTAACCTGTGATTGTGTGTATGTCTTACTCAAAGTTCTTTCCACCACTTCTGTGGCCTCATTTACAACTGTGATACACTGATCTGCTGACGATTATGATTTTGTGAAAATTCCTTTGTTTTCTACATTCTATAATTAGCTCCATGGCCCGGCATCCTTTGAACATCATCTTGGCCTCCTGCTGATGGCTTCCCTCCTCCAGATGCCTTGTCTTTCTCTTTTCTTTGTCTTTGTGGAGGCTTCCTAAATGAGTCTCCACAAACTGTGCTTGAACTCAGGGTCATTTCTCCTCTGAAACAGAAGAGTGCTAGAGAATGGAGACCAGAAGACTATCAAAAGAAGCTTTCTTCCCAAGAAAAAGAGTTGATAAACGTTCCTGTTGCAGTTGTTTGGTACTGTTGAACCAGCTTCAACTCCTAGTGACCCCTGTGTACAACAGAACAAAGCACTGCCCAGGCCTGTGCCAGCCTCACAATTGTGCTGAGGTTTGAGCCCATGGATGCAGCCACCGTGTCAATGCACCGTGTCAATGCATCTTGTCAATGCACCATGTCAGTGCACCGTGTCAATGCATCTTGTGGAAGGTCTTCCTCTCTTTCAACACCTCTCTACTTTACTAAGCATGATGTCCCTCTCCCGGGACTGGTCTCTCCTAACGTTCAAAGTAAGTGAGATGATGTCTCCCCATCCCAGCCTCTACAGAGCATTCTGGCTGTACTTCTTCCAACACAGATTGCTCAGACGTCTTTAAAATTCTTACTAGAAGCAATAGCCAGATCTACAGGACTGGATTTGCTCAAAATCTAAACATTAATGTCAAGTGCTTTAAGTAGCAATAATTGACTGCACCTGGCCGTGTTTGTTATGAAAACATCTGCAGGAAGGATTTGCAAAACAAAACGGTAACAGTAAACAAAAAGTTAATTAATACTAGAGAATGCAAAGCCTACAAAGTATTTTCAGAATGCTTACTTCACTTCAACTTCAGAACCTGATCCTATGTGCATTCTTTCCAGTTTGCGACAAACACACACCAAAGCATGGATGAGGCTGAGCTTCAGGTGTGTGTGTGTGTGTGTGTGTGTGTGTGTGTGTGTGTGTGTGTGTGAGAGAGAGAGAGAGAGAGAAGGTGATTTACATCTGGGTTAAAGTTTGAGAAGTTTGTCTTTTCCACTTTGGAACATATTTTCCTCTCAACTTGGCTTAAACTTGACCCTGGGACGCTTCCATAATTGGGGTTTCCTTTGTCTTTTAGGGCTCATTATGTCTGTGAATTGTGTGCTGATGTATCCGGATAGGGGAACTTCACAAATCCTAGGTGGAGAGAAAAGCTTTGTGGGTCCACGGTGCTGGTGGCAACTTGCCTCTCAAAGTATCTAAACAGATTCTTCCCTATTTGTCTACATTGGGGATGGGGGGGTGGGGCGCGGTAAATTCTGTCTACAGAATGTAGTCTAGATAGGTGTGGGAGGAAGAGTGGGGGTATAGCCTCAGATCTATATATATTTGACAGAGGACATTAGTACTTGTGTATTCGCCTGTGCTTGGAAAATATCCACGAATGTGTCAGAATATCTTGAGAGCAAAGTTATGAACTGTTAGCTGTAATCACACTTTGAGTGAGTTTGTCACTGGGCCTGGGAATTTGAGATTATAGTCTAGGGGAACATCAAGGTCAAATGCATAGCATAGTTCTCAAAGAAAATATTGCACAAACTACTTTCATGAGTAGTGAGTGACTAGGGTCTTAAAAGCTTCTGAGCAGCCACCCTAGGTGCAACTATGGGTGTCACCTCATCCAGAATAAAGAAGAGGGAAGAAAATTGGAGCTGCATAGGAACCATCCAATG